GTTAGCAGCCAAGTGTGCTGTTTGCACTGCCCAGGGACTCCAAGTATCAGTTCCAAAACCCAAATCAAATCCCTTGCTGACAGACCCATGGCAACCCCACGTGTTATAGATTAGAACTGCCCCACAGGGCTCTCTTGGCTGTAATCTTTACAGAAGCAGATCGTTAGCCTTTTATTGGTGATACCACTGGGTGGGTTCAAACGGCCGACTTTTAAGTTATTAGAAGGGTGCCAACTGTTTGTACCTCCCCATAAGGGATATAATTATCAGTTAAGATTTCTTTAATAACAAGTGACAGGAAAGCAACTCAAACTAGTCTAACAATACACAACAGTTATTAGCCCCATAACTAGAGTCCAGGGACACAAATGATCAGGGCTCTGGCTGTTTGTCTCAGTTCTCCCCTGCTCCAAATGCCAACTTTGTCCTCAGGCTGGCTTCTCTCATGGTAGCAAATGTTGACAACAGAAACCTCTGCCTATCTGCACATCATACCATCTGGAGCAAGAAAGAGCTTCTCTTCCCAGCCATCAAATAGAAGCCATCAAACCAGTCTGATTGGAGCAACCTCAATCAGTCATGTTGGCCAGGGGTAATTCCATGCACTGATTGACTGAGTTCTGGGTCACTGCTCATCTCCAAGCTGTCACTATGGCAGAAGTGGATTCTGTAGTTTGATTGGTTTAGAGCAATCAAGACCCATCCCCAAGGAAAAAAAAATGGGGTGAGGGGTATAATGGATGTCTGAAGAGGCAACTGAAAGTTCCCCCAAGAACTTTCTATGAACTACTAAGCAGGCATCTCAGTTCTCAAGCAAACTGGCAGTGCCCTGGGGCAGGGGCCACCTTATGGCTTCCTATTCACCAACCCTAAGGTGACCATTGAGAAAGGCACTTCACATGTGTCCTCAGTCACCACAACAGGCCTTCGACCTGCTCACTGCTGCATGAACCTGTGGCATCCTCCATCAAGAAACAAGAGTTCTTTAATAAGACCCCTGGTCTGGGAGACAGGAGGGCTGGGTTTTGTTCCTAACTGAGTGGAGAATTCTTTTTGTGTGCCTCAGTTTCCCCATGTGTATAAAGAGGGGATTGGACAAACTATACCTGAAGGCTCTACTCAATCAACAAGTCATGGTCCACAGCAAGAAAAGAGCTTCCAATTCTTGGCATTTTGTAGACCCAAGAACTGCCATCATCTCTCATCTGAGAGCCTTTGACTGGTCTCCCTGCCTCCACTCCAGTCCTGCTCCCCTCCCCAATCCACTCCACACATGGCAACCATTCATTCATTCTTCATGCAACAAATATGCATTGAGCAACTACTGAGTACCAGGCTCTGTTCTCGGTGCTGAGGATGCAGCAATGAACAAAATAGATACACACATACCAATCTTTACCTTCATGAAGCTTCCTGTTTAGTGGGGAGCAATTGATAAATAAGAAAATAAGAAAAACATAGTATGTTTATTAGAAGTTGATGTTAAGGAGGAAAAATTAAAGCAGGGAAAGAAGTTAAAAGGAGGTTGCCATCTTTGTTGAAATTGTCAGGGAAGGCATCCTTGAGACCTGAGCAAAGGAAGAGAAAGAATGCTCCCTGAGGTTAACTGGAGGAAGAGGGAGTTTGGCAGAGGGAGAAACCCATGCAAGCACCCAGGGGCAGAGAAGTACAGTGAATTATTTAACATGGCCCTTCTAGCCACACATGGTCCTTCCTGTGACTCCCACAGAATGACTGGGTGGCATTATATAAATAAGATGCTTGTGACCCACCAAGAGGATTAGACAGCCTGCTAATAACGGAAATAAGGTGCATGACAGCCTTGTGGGGGTTGTGGTTGCCGTTGTTAGGGGCCATCGAGTCGAAGCTAACTCATAGCAACCCTACATACAAAACAGGAGTGGGGGGGTAGTAAAAAAAAAAAAAACTTACCACCGTTGAGTCAATTCAACTCATAGTGACCCCTCCTTGGGTTTCTAAGGCGGTATCTCTATGGAAGTAGATTGCCCACTCTTTCTTCTGCAGAGTGGCTGGTGGGTAGAACCATGCAAATAAGGTGTATGGAACACTAAGGAGGCAGTTTGTCAGTTTTGCTATATCTCACTAGGCTTAAAATGAGCCAGTCCCAGTGGTACCTCACTGGTACCAAGAAGAAGAACCAGAAGCAGAGTGCATCTTTTGGACCTAGAATCCCTGTCTTGGAGAACCCCCTAGACCTGGGAGACAAAGAGCTGTACAATGGAAGAAAGAACAAGACAGCAAAAAGTGGCAGCAGAAAAACAGTGGCAGCAGAACCAGGAGACTGGTGCAAGGTGGCATGGTGTGTTTCCTGGCCTACAAGCAAGGCAGTTCAGTGGGCATGCTGACCCATGGAGTAAAGCAAGAGAGCTGAACGCCTTCAAGTCAATGATTACTGATGGACTGGGGTGCCAAAGTACTGGGAGACACCAGACTCAATTAGCACAACAAAATACATAAAAATCTTGTTCCTCATCCTACATTGGTGAGTAGCGACTGATGTCTTAAAAGCTTTCAAGTGGCCATCTAAGATGCTGCTAATGGTCTCCTATTGTCAGAAGCAAAGAAAAGTGCAAAAAAAAAAAGGGCATGTGGAAGCAATCAGCCCTAGGACACTATGGCCCTTGAGACCAGAAGAACTAGATGGTACCTGGCTATCAATGCCAATTACTCAGGAAAGGATAAAATCTGGAGATCCAGGATAGAGTGGGAGGAAAAAACATGGAACAAAATCCAAAAACTCAGTAATGCCCAGAACTACTGGTCAGATGGAGTCTAGTGAGACTCCCAATACTATAGCTCTGGGATACATTCTGGGCCTGGGATAAAACTCACTCCCAAGGGCTGGCTCTCAGCCCAGTAGTAAAGAAGATGTACATGCAGACCACTTAACCCAGGGTGATGCACCCACATCCTCTATGGAAATGCATCCCTTGGAGCAATTGACCACAGGGCACCAGAGGGGCAACATTCACATGCAGGACAAACAGGAGTGCATAACTGTGAGGGGCACAGGGGGAGGGTTACTGGTCAGGAAGGGGAGGAGACTGGGTTAGGGTTGGGGATGGTAAATGGGGAGTGAAACTAAATGTGCACGTAATGTTGAATGTAAAACAAACTCTTAAAATAAAACATTTAAAAAAAAAAAAGCTGTAGGCTGAGAGACCTGCCTTTGGCCACAGCTGAGAAGCTGTCCTGATGGAAGAACTGTATCTTGAGTCACTCCTCATCCTGAATTGTAACCTGTTACTTCCCTAATAAACCCTGTAACTGTGACTATGGTCTATGAGTTTTGTGTGGCCATTTTAAGCAATTATTGAACCCAGAAGAGAAGTAGAGCTCTGTGAGAGGGATTGCTGGTACCAGAATTGGTGAAAAGCTTGGAGGGCAGAGGTATGTTTGACATCCCCTCACAGGGATTAGCTTTGGGCAGATGTTGATCTTGATTCTCTCTTCACCACTTTGTGACATTAGATGAAGTCTGATACCTCCATCACATCATTTTTGTAGTCAGGGGCCTGGCTGACAGGCCGGAAGAGCAGTGAGTGAGCAAGCAATGAAATGGTGATGGGAGACCAGGTGGGAAAAGCCCCCAGCAACCAAACTGTGCTGGGCCTTGGAGATGATGATAATGCTTCTATTCTGAGTGAACTGTGAAGTTGCTGGAGGGTTCCGAGTAGAGCAGTGGCCTGACCTGACTTACATTTTCATAGAGCCACTTTGGCTACTACATGCAGGATCAACGGAAGGGGCAAAGGTGTAATTAGGAGCCAGTAAGGAAGCACTGGCAGTGACACAGGTGAGAGGTGGTGAGAAGCAGTCAGATTCTGGATGTATTTTGAAGGAAGAGCAAACAGACTTGCTGATGGGCTGGATGTGGGGTTTGAGAAAAAGAGTCAAGGCTGATAACAAGGCAGAACATAAAGTTAAGAAAGGGGAGTGAGGGGGGGCACTGATAATGAGATATTTAACCTGAGCAGCTGGAAGGATGGAAGGATGGACTTACCCTCCACTGAGGCAGGAAAGACCAGTAAGGAGGCAGGTGAAGCAAGCAATGTCAGAAGCTCCGATTCTGCCCAATGCCCTTTGCAAAAAGCAAACCTATGTACATCGTTCCCCTGCTTAGAATCTTCCTGTGCTTCCCCCTGACCTCCAGATAAAGTCTGGCCTCTTATCTCCATATAGTCCTGGTCCTTGCCCTCTACATCCCACAAGCTCACTGGTTTTCTCTTGCCCTCAGTTCTTGGCACCTGTTCTTCTTCCTGGAAAATTCTTCCCCGCACTTGCATCTCCAAGCCCCAGTTTCCCCATGTGCAAAAGCAGGAAGGAGTGTAGGACCAGATGATACCTTCTGGCTGCACCTTCCTGTAGTCTCCAGCTGTACAGTCTTGTCCTAGGTTCCTGCACCCTCCCTCACCTGGCACCAGGGAAAGTTAGCAGTAGTCAGAATTCAGCTAAATGGTCCCTGAGTGGCACAAACACTTTGCACTCCACTGCTAATCTAAAGGTTGGTGGTTGAAACTCACCCAGTAGTGCTATATCAGAAAAGCCTTCCATAAAGATTACAGCCAAAAAAACCCTATGGAGCATAGTTCTACTGTGTAACACATGGGGTCACCATGAGTCAGAATTGACTCAATGGCAAATAATAAAGTCAACAAGGAAATAGCAGTGAAAAAACAGACCAGAAGCCAGATAAACTTTCACTAAACATGATGACCTCCTCCAGTAATTGATCCTTCCTGATGACATGTCCCAAACAAGTAAATTGGACAACATTCTGCTGTGATACGTAAGGTTTTCATTGCCCAGTTTTCAGAAGTAGATCACCAGGCCTTTCTTTCTAGTCTGTCATAGTCTGGAAGCTCCTCTGAAATCTGCTCACCAGGGATGATCCCTCTGGTATTTGAAATACTAGCAGCATAGCATCCAGCATTATAGCAACATGCAAGCTACCATGGTATGACAAACCAACAGACAGACAGATGATGGCATTACATGCTAGTATATAGCAGAAACTGGACTCCTACGCTGAGCACCAGACAGAAAGCCCAGGGTCCTCTCCAGGACTCTTTCCAAACTAAGCTCAAGCCCCTCAGCCCCCAGGAAGCCAGCCTGCTGCCTCTGAACAATCTGCTCTGTAACCAGGTTAGTAGGGGGCACTTTGATCTTCCCTCTCACCTTGAGGCTCAGACTACACCTTGCTCATCTTCATATCGACTCAGTCCTATGCTTGACAGTGTACCTGGAGCCTCACTCACAGCAGGCACATCTTAAACTTTTTGTGGAGTCAAATAACCAATATATTGTGCCCCAGACAAGAGCAGCTTCCTGCGAGGAGGGGTGCCAGTTATCCAGAGGGCCACTTGCCCAGGACACTCTCCCAGACCCTGGCTTGTGCCTCTTCTGCCATCTTCTCTCACCTTCAGAATGTGCAGAACTCAGAAAGAGATTCCTTCCCCTCTTGCCCTACCTTACCTTCCGCCCAGAGACGTTATGAGAATTAATGGGATAACAGATGAAGTGCCTCCAAGGAAACGGACTACATAAATCCAAAGTGTTGTTATTAAATTCCAAATTTAGCCCTTGGGATCAGTGAGACATGACAGATCTGAGCTGGGAGCAATCCCAGCTGCATGGACACAAGGCCCCTGGAAAATCAGAAGCCATGAAGTAGAGGTTTTGGGAGTTAAAGGAAACCCTAAAAATCCTCCAGGTCTACACCCTGTCCAGGGCCCAAGGAGCCAGCTTGGATGACAGACTCTGCTTGGATGTCACCAGTGACAGAAAGCTCATGCTCCCTAAGGCAGCCTCTCACTTTTTCCTTGCTCTGAGTTTTAAAAGCTTCCTCCTGTCTGGCCACACCCATTTCCCCCGTATCTTTCACTCTCCAGGACAAATCTTGCCCTTTTCCCACATGAGAGCCCCGAACTAACAGTGACCTTTTCTTCTCATTCTCAGCTAAACTCCTCTAAAAACCAAAAAACCAAACGCACTGCTGTCAAGTTGGATCCAACTTATAGCGACCCCTCCTTGGGTTTCCGAGGCAATATCACTATAGAAGCAAATTGCCTAACCTTCCTTCCAAGGAGTGCCTGGTGGGTTTGAACCACCAACTTCTGGTTAGCAGTCAAATGCCTTAGGCACTACGCCACCAGAGCTCCTAAACTCCTGTAGGGCCTTCAAAAAGGTGTCACATACCATAATCTCAAGGCAGATTACCAATCTGATACTGTTTTGTAAAGGAGTTCTACTTCACGGCTGGAAGAAATAACATAACCCCCAGGAGGAGTGGATAAGACAGGACAGAACAGGAACAACCAACTTTTCACTCTAGATGCTCTCGTCCTATGAAGGCAACTAGGGCAACATGTGCTCTGTCTTTAGCAGCCACATCACACTATGAAATCATATTATCTACACTTAGTATTGAGGCCACAATCCCTGCCTCCTGATGAATCTGGTTGGTCATGGCCTCCAAAGAACCTCAGGAAAGGGACCCAAGCTGAGTAGGACCATCTTGGAGCAGAGAATTACAGCAAGGGAAGAGTCTAGCCATTGGAGTCACACTAACCCAAGTAACCCTCAGCAAATGGCTTAAGTCCTGACTTTCAGCTTTCTTATCTCCAAAGAAGATATACAAATGGCCAATAAGCACAAGAAAAGATGCTCAACATCATGAGTCATTAAGAAACACAAATCAAAACTATAATGAGATACCACTTCATGCCCACTGAAACCAAAAAACCAAACCCACTGCCACCAAGTCAATTCCAACTCACAGCAACCCAACAGGACAGAGTAGAACTGCCCAAAGGGTTTCCAAGGCTGTAATCTTTACAGAGGCAGACTGCCACATCTTTCTCCCACAGAGCAATTGGGTTCGAATCACCAACCTTTTGGTGAGTGGTTGAGTGCTTTAACCACTGCACTACCAGGGCTCCTTTCACACCCACTTGCTGTTAGGTGCCTTCAGGTCAGCTTTAACTCATAGTGACCCTGTGTACAGCAGAACAAAACGTTCCCCAGTCCTGTGCTATCCTTACATCCTTGCTATGCTTCAGCCCACCATTGCAGCTACTGTGTCAACCCATTTCGTTGAGGGTCTTCCCCTTTTTTGCTGACCCTCTCCTTTATCAAGCAGGATATACTTCTCCAGGGACTGGTCCCTTCTAACAACATGACCAAAGTAGGTGACACGAAGTCTAGCCATTCTCGCCTCTAAGGAGCATTTTGACTGCATTTCTTCAAGGACAGATTTGTTTGTTCTTCTGGCAGACAGATAGGCAGACTCACTGCCATCAAGTCAGATCTGACTCATAGCAACCCCTCCTTGGGTTTCCGAGGCAGTATCACTATGGAAGTAGATTGCCCAACCTTCCTTCTGAGGAGTGGCTGGTGGATTTGAACCACCAGTCTTCTGGTTAGCAGTGAAATGCCTTAGGCACTACGTCACCAGAGCTCCCAGTCCATGGTATTTTTGGCATTCTTCACCAACACCACAATTCAAAGCCATCAACTCTTCTTCAGTCTTCCTTATTCATTGTCCAGCTTTCACATGAATATGAGGTGAACAAAAATACCATAGGTTGGGTTTGGTGCACCTTAGTTAGTCTCCAGAGTGACACTTTGCTCTTTAAAACTTTAAAGAGACCTTTTGCAGCAGATTTACCCAGTGTGATACAACATCTGATTTCTTGACTGCTGCTTTCACTGGTGTTGATTGTGGATCCAAGTAAAATGAAACATTTGACAACTCCAATCTTTTCTCCATTTATCGTGATGCTGTTTATTGGTCCAGTTGTGAGGGTTTTCATTTTCTTTCTTCCATACTGAAGGCTACAGTCTTTGATCTTCATCAGTAAGTGCTTCTAGTCACCTGCACTTTCAGCAAGCAAGGTTGTGTCATCTGCATTTGTTAGTAAGTCTTCCTCCATTCCTGAAGCACATTCTTTTTCATATAATCCAGCTTCTCAGATTTTCTCAGCATACAGATTAAATAAGTATGGTGAAAGAATACCACCCTGAAGCCCACCCTTCCTGATTTTAAACCATGTGGTATTCCTTTGTTCTATTTGAATGACAGCCTCTTGGTCTATGTACAGGTTCCTCATGAGCACAATTAAGTGTTCTGGAATTCCTATTGTTCATAATGTTATCCATAATTTATAATGTGCCACGTTGTCAAATGCCTTTGCATAGTCAATAAAACACAGGTGAACAACTTGGAAAGGGATCAGTACAGGAGATCCTGGATAGAGTGGGAGAATGATGTAAAATAAAACTCAAAAATCACAAAAAGACCAGGTGTACTGGTCTGATAGAGCCTGGTGAGACTCCCAAAGCTATGCCCATAGTTACCCTTCAGATCTGAACTTGAACTCACTCCCATGGCTTCCAGCCAAACAACAGGCAGGCATATAAGATGAACATTTACATCAGGTAGATACACACCTTAGAACCATCACATCAAAGAACAGAGGGCAGTATTTGCACAAGGAAATAGCTCAGGGGGCAGAAATGCATAGGGAGGAAGGACACAGGGAAGA